GTGGGAGGGGAGGGGTGGGTGGGAGGGGAGGGGTGGGGTGGGAGGGGCCAGCCAGAGATGGGATTTGGGGTTTCTCTGAACCGGCCATAACATTAGCTAAGGGTTCTCCCAAATCCAGGTGAACTCGTAGCAGTCCACCCCTAATATTACCCATATAAATACGCTTGTTATATTACATTCCTCTATTTCATTCAGTCTACCATCTAGTATCAGTGGAGTTTCTCCCTGTCATTCAAGACACAAAAATGATTCAACTGCATAATTCCATATTCAGGGATACAAAATCACTGGAAAATAGTGTTATATCAAGTTAGCCCATTAGTACATCACAATTACTTTTTTCCACAGAGGCTCAATCAATCCATCAGTTTATTACAGTCATAGACCAAAGACACAGAGCATCTTCTCATGCAAGGTTGCTAAAAACTGCTGACACAGTTTTGCCAGAATTCTGAGGCAGGAAATAAATAAAAAATGAAGTGTAAGTCTTTGAATAGATGTAATCTCTTTTATAAATAATAGTATTTTTTATAAAAGAAAAAAGAAAACTTCATTTTGTGCCACCAAATAAAAAGAAACAAAACAAAAAATCATATAATTTATGTGATATGGCCTTGGCAACTTCACATTATTGTCTTTCCTATTGTAGAAGCTTATGCAGTCTGAATATATCTACCGTGTTTCCCTGAAAATAAGACAGGGTCTTATTTTCTTTTTACCCCTGAAATAAGCACTTGGCCTTATTTTCAGAAAGGTCTTATTATTTTTGAGGTGCAGGAGGCCCCTTAACCTCCGCCTGAGGATCAGCTGATCAGAGAGGGCTGGAGGTTCTGTCTCTGTTTCTGGCACACTCTTGCGGCACTAACGTTGCTGGGCCTGCTGCTCTTTTTGCGGCCATCAGTAAGAGAAGGGGTGTGGTAGCTAAGGTTTGCAGGAGCGGCCTCTGCGAGGCCATTCCATGTAGATGGCAGGTGCATGCGGGGTGCATGGGGCATGTTCCCTCCTTCCCCCCAGGAAGTGGCCGGGGGGGGGGGCTGCACAAGCATTTAAATATATTTGGGGAGGGCTTATTTTTGGGGGAGGGCTTTTTTTAGCGCATGTGCTCAAAAGCCCAGTTGAGCTTATTATCTGGGAACCTCTTATTTTCGGGGAAACAGGATATTAAGCATGACCCTTAGATATCGCAGGACTGCCATAATAGGTTATACATTAAATGATCTAACTTTTAAAATAGTGTTTTTCAAATCTGGTAATTTTAAGAAATGTGGACTTCAACTCCCAGAATTCCACAGCCAGTAGTTGAAGTCTGTAAAGTTGCCAACTTTGAAAAGTACTGCTTTAATTAATAATACCTAAACCTAGTACTAATTCTATTATAGTGGGGAGTTCAACTTTTTGGGGTCATGGAACTTATTAAAAAAAATCCAGAATGCACGATCAAGAGCAAAGCTTTAGTAACAGGAAATTGACTGTATTCAAATGAATTTGTTTCCCTTTTAATCTCTCTTGAAACACCATCAAATTCTTGCAGAACCCTATGAGAGTTATAAATTCCAATTTGAAAACCCTATCCTAGAGCTTCATTGTCAACATGTGTTACTTCCTGTCCCTTTCTGGTTTTTGAGTCAACTACAGTTCGTGTTTCGTCAGCCCTGTCATTTTGAACATAAGTAATCAGCACCAAAAGATTGTTTATCATTATTGTTAGAAACAGCTTTGCCATTAACAGTGAAGATATTGCAAAGGTGTAACTCTAATTAGAAACTTGGATCCAAAGCTTAAATTGGAAGGAATCACCTGCAAAAGGGTGAGCAATTGAACACTTGAGCTGAGAAGATTTCCCCAGTCTCTTCAAACACCGTTACCACATTAGGTTTTATCTTTAATTAGGATCCGGAACCACAATTTTAACATATGAGGGAGAATTACACATGAATGTTTAGTAACAAATTTAATATAGCCAGGAAAACAACCAATTTGATGCAATTGTATCTTTGGGCAATATTATACTGACATTAAAGTTCCGATTTCATAAACCATATCTAGCATTTATGTTATAAAAGCAAAGGTTTCCCTCGCACATATGTGCTAGTTGTTCCTGAGACCAGGGGGTGGTGCTCATTTCCGTTTCAATGCCGAAGAGCCAACATTATCCAAAGACGTCTCCATGGTCATGTGGCCAGCATGACTAAACACCAGAGGCACATGGAACACTGTTACCTTCCTACCAAAGGTGGTCCCTATTTTTCTACTTGCATTTTTATATGCTTTCAAACTGCTAGGTTGGCAGAAACTGGGACAAGTAATGGGAGCTCTCTCTGTTACGCAGAGTTAGGGATTCAAACCATCGAACTGCCGACCTTTCTGATCGACAAGCTCAGCGTCTTAGCCACTGAGCCACCACATCCCTTTTTTGGTATTTTTTTTAGTATTTAGTATTTTATTGTCACTTATAGGCCGCCCTTTTCCCTGAGGGGACTCAGGGCGGCTTACAACTCANAATGTATCTTTTCTTTTATGTACACTGAGAGCATAAGCACCAAGACAAATTCCTTGTGTGTCCAATCACACTTGGCCAAAATTTTTATTCTATTCTATTTTACTAAGGCATACTGAAGTGTATGCCTTAGTTTAATAAAAGTATTGCTGACTGTGGATTTTGTCGTTCACAATCAGAAATCTGTAAAACCCCATTAAGGGTGTTTGCTCTAAATCCTTCTCTTAGGTGGGTCTTTAAGTGTGACCTCTCCGATGAAACCTCTGATCTAGATTTCCTGGAGACTAATGCAAGAGTGCTTAAAGACTCACCTAAGAGACGGATTTAGGAGCAATGACCTTTAGTGACTTTCTGCCTACTTAGTTAAGGAGCCTATTCAGATTAACTAAAAAATGAAACCAGCCTGAAGGACATTCATGGGGTCCCTTTACTAACTTGCTCAGTTTGAACAAGCATTTGGATAAGCAGCAACATATTTCACACCGAAAAAGAAAATAATTCCATGACTCAATTTCCAGACAATCAAAAATCTATAATTTTTGCTGCAAAAGCTTAACACTGCCACCTTTCTGGAATTCTGTGTGAAATTGATCTACTTTTCCCCTCTAGCTGCACTTCCCATTGATCATATTCAAGAGAATTATGTTCGTGAGGTTCGAGATTGCATTTTTTCTGTTGGATATCCTACACCATTTAAATCCAGAGTTCTACTTGTAGCTGTTTCAGAGGTCAGGAATATATTTTTTAATACAAAACTGCTGTTTTACTCTGCACCTGTGTGTCTATAAGAGACATTTATGAACGTGTAACCCAGGGATGGGCTTCAAAAATTTCAGCAGCGGGTTCTCTGCCTGGTTGCTGGGTAGGCGTCGTAATATTGGGCGTGGCCTACTTTTGCACCATGGCGGGGGGGGGGGGCATTTTCGCCTTGCCCAGGCTCCAGAGGCTTTCCTCAAGCCTCTGGNGTGAGGTGGGCAATGTTGGGCCGCGAGGCTCGCCTCTTACCTTTCCAGGTCCATCACGTTCCTCACCATTGTGTTTAGGGAAGTCCCTGGTAACCCCCCCCCCTTCTCGCAACTTCAAGAAATTTGATTGAACTCGCGAGAAGGATTATTTTTTTACCAGCAGTTTCCCTGAACACAATGGCTAGGAACGCAATGGAGCTGGAAAGGTAAAAGGTGCGCCTCGCTTCTCACCTGCCCCAGAAAATAATAAGCCCTCCCCTATAATTCGCCCAAGGCCATATTTTGTGGGGCAAGAGAAAATAAGACCCTGTCTTATTTTCGGGGAAACAGTAGTAGAACGTCTTTGGCTCCCTTTCCCCATGGAAAAGAATGCTATTTTGGCTACGTATCTCTCAACTATCTCTATCTCCCCCCTCCCTGCCCCCCATGTTCCACAGCTCTACACAGCCTTGCTGTGGCAGCCTGGAAGATGCTTCAAAAATGGCTTCAGGGCTGACAGGAGCATTGTACCAAACTGTTCCTGTGCCTATTGCAATTACTAGTAAAATATACAGAGAATATTGTTTATTCAAACATGTTGAATCCCTGTTACGATTCCCATTTCTGAATAACGAATAATTGTTTCATATTTTTATCTCAACTTCTTCATGTTAGTTTGGTAGCTGGGCAGGACAGCTGGGTGATGGAAGAGCCCACCTGATCGGCATTTATACAAACAGGTATTGCATATCTCGTCTTAAAAGGTCTGTCTCTATTCAGTATTTGGTTGCTATTGATATCTCAGAAACTAAAATGACAATAACCAACAACAATATTAACCAGACTTAGTATGTAAACTCCTTAGTATTTCACATGTATTATTTTGTTAATCCTTGTAGTACAAAATACATACAAGTTATTGTATACATACAGGTTATTTCCCCTATGTTACAGGTTGGGTTGAGGCTTCATTGTACAGACAAGATTTGTATGAATGATACTTCGACAGAAGGTGTTCCATTCTGTGCTGCATCAGTTGTTCACATTGCTAATACTAATCTTCTTTCTGTAGATTTGGATCCAGTTGGGAACTGCAGCTCAAAGGTTCAGGAAGGACACCATATTCCAGGTGTGTTATATTTTTGGTGTAATATTCTTTCAGTTCCTGATATGTTTTGTATTAATTTCAACAATGCATCATAGAATCCAAGGATTGGAAGAATCTGTAGTTCCAACCCCTGCCCAGACCTTCTTACAGAATGTTTTGTTTGTTTTGTTTTGTTTTGCCTTTATTTGTATGCCGCCCTTTTCCCTGAGGGGACTCAGGGCGGCTCACAATTCAAAAANTACCATGAAGGGCTTTATAGGTGGTAAGTAGCACCTTGAAGCGCACCCGGAGATCAACAGGTAGCCAGCGCAGCTCGCTGGCTACCTGTTTTATGTTATAGTACTCGACAATTACCTAATTAAAGTGAATTGTCCAAGGTCACTAAATTTACTTTATACTGAATTCAACTGACTAAGTGGAATTGTATAAAACATCCCCTTTTATTGTCTAAATGTGTAGGGAATGAAGGAACAAATACTGCTCTTATCAGAGAAAACTACTGGTATATATTTAACAAATCCATTCTAAATTCAAGCTCGGAAAATAATAATTAACAATCTATTGACTTAAAAAGACGGAAAGAAGAAGAGGCTTTAAATCTTGACATTGACCTAGATATGTAGCTTGATTTCTGTGTTCTGCAGTAGGTTGCTCTTCTGCATATAATATATGACTTCTTATCTACAATAAAGCAGCTTATCTGTGTCAAATCCCTGATCTTTCTACTCTTTCCTGAATATGGGCTGCTTCTAAAAGAATAAGATATTTATAGCTGTGCCTGATCTGGAGTCTTACCAAATATAATAACCCAAAACCACTAACATTCCTTGGAAATAGAAGTAGGAAGGCTGTAATTCTGCACCTTTTCTTCAATTCTGACTACTCGGAGGTTTGGCAGAAAATTTATCTCACTTGAAAACAATAAATTTTAATAGTCTAGAAAATTGGGTGGTTATTGTGTGGCGAACGCGTAGGAGTACATCACTAAAGTATGGATTTCTATGATGTACATAACTAACGTGAAACTTTTTTTTTAACCCCTTAATAATGTTCATGGATTGATATATTTTTTCTATTTCAGGAAGTCCTGGAAGAAATTCTGGACTTAGACATGTCCGCCTCAAGCTCAGATGATTTTTTACAGCTTGTCAGTGGTTCAAAAATAATCTTGGGGTCTCTACCGCTAACCCACAGATATGGTGGCCATCAGGTACTACTTTTTTTTCTAACCAGATGTTATAAACATTAAATGCCAGTGATATTCAGTGATTGATTGATTGATTGATTTAGTTTATTTGTATGCCGCCCTTCTCCGGGAGGGACTCAGGGCGGCGAACAACT